TTAAGAAGATTTTTGTAAAATAAAATGATGGGATTTTCTTCATAAATAGAGTAAAATCCATTATTCCAGTAAGCCAGCTGCAATCAAATAGCCCACAAACGATTGGATGACACTTTGAAAATCCTGAAAAAAAGATTCAGCCGAACAATTATGGAAACAGAAAACCCAAAACACTCATTATCCACAACATCATTTTAAACAACCAAATCCATCAAACTAATATATAAAAAAAGATCAAAAACTAAAACAAAACAATTCTAAATCCAACCCAGTTGAAAAGAATCTCCGAACTAAAAATCAAAAGCAAAATAGCTGAGATGAAACAATAGCTTACCTGCATCGATGACCGCATCCCAATCAGTCTGCCCACTCTTCTGAAACTGCATCAAATCCCATGTCCCCCCAAGCCATCTCGGATCCTTGAAAGTCAAAACCTCCGCATTGGCAACCGCAACCCCATTCGAACTCAGAGAATCCTCCCCCTTGTCCTTCACCTCCACGCTTTTCTCTTCCTCAGGAAGATTCGTCATCTCCACCTTCTCCTCCACCACAGCGGAGCCCGCCGCCCCCGCTCCATTATCCGCTGACCTCGCAATGAAGAGCGAAGGAAGCTTTTTCGGGAAGAAGGAAAGGTGTAGACGGTGAGATCTATAGTGGAGTTTGAATTTTAAGTCGGAGAAGATGGTGGGAACAGAGGGAGAGAGTGAGGAAGCCATTTGAGCTTGTACTAGTTTTTTGTGCTGAAGTGGGGTTTTAATCTGAGCAGAGAGACTATATAGAGAAGAGGAAGAAGAAGAAGACAAAGTCACATGCCTTAGTTTCTTGAAAATGGTTTATGGAGAAATCTGGACGCTTGGAGGAAGGAAGAAGGATCACGAAGGAGAGTCATGAACTGGGGATGGGAGCCCTTTCTGTTGAAGATGAGAAAGGCAATGCATCATCAATGCAACTTGGTGTGGATAGGGGTGCTTATGAGCTGGGCTTGACTCATGGGCTTCTTATGTACTTTT